TTCTGTATGTACATAATTATTTTAGTGATTWGATTTAAGTCCGACTCTATGAATTTAAAAATCTTTATCACCTTCCAAGCACTGATTAGAGCTCTGCTGTGCAAACCTTTATATGACAAGGAATATGACAAGGAAAATCTCAACCCCAGTGAGCTCTCAATCTGTAATTTCATTAAAATAGGGTGTATGACAGGAAGAAAAACGGAAGAACAAACAGGATGGATATGCATATATTAGTCATAGCAGCAGGTTTGYAGCAAATAATATTCAAGTGATCCCTGCCTTTCACCAATTACAGGGGCAGAGTTAAATTTGCACCAGGTCTGAGGGGGCCTCCGACCTTCCTCGTTGGAGTCTGAGGAAAATCACAAAGAGTCTTGAACTACACCACCACCTGCTGTTGCAACCATTATGGCTCACATAATTTATTCATACCAGAATACACYGTACATCTGCTATTTACTGATATTTTGCTTCATTCTTCGTACATTTTTCTTATTATGCCTCGTTCTCATATCGAGGAAAATTGCCAAGTACTGTAGAGAGGGTATAAATATGGATTATATATTGCTTATAAAGGTCTTCCCCATTCATAACATCAAAGAATGAATAATGCATTGCCTCCCTTTCCAGCTAAGCAATATAAACATCAAAAGAAGGATTACCATTTCAGGTTTTGACAATACTAAATCTTCGTGTCAAATGCCTTGTTGCCTTGTGTAGAACATTTATATTTTTATTCCTTTTACGTAGTCAAAGTAGTGGGCGAAGCAGTTTTTGCTTTCCTTTAATTTAAATAATTAATTAAAACTAAACGTTTTTGCCAAGCTATTTACATTCACACTGAAATAATAAATGCTAGGTTTYATCCTGAAATGAATTTATTAACTAGGTTTCGAACTCCTGTCCTCCGTGAAAAGCAGAAGTTTTTTATCATTCACAGGGAGCCACTGCTACTCTGTTGGAATAACCCAGCGGTCAGAGGTAGTGGATTATGTCAGATTCCCTAAAATGAGACTCTGAAACTGGAAAGGCCTTAAGAGTTGGGTGGTTTACAGAGGTTGGGCTGCTAAGAGTCAACGCAAAGCTTGGATGTTGGCACTGGATGAAGGGAGCTGAGACTCCAAGTGCACTGATTTCTGATCATACGGCCCAAGTGGAGCCTGATCATATGGTCATTATGCAGGAGCCATTAGATAGGGTCCTGTATAATGGAGAGATGCAAGACAGAGATATAAATCCTATCTTAGATGTCTCTCATGAATTTCTTTCAGATTCAGTAATTCTGACTGATGCAGAGATCCGTGTCTTTATAGGATCCATATAGTGACCCACATAATTTTTTTTTCCCATCCATATTTGTATCCTGGGTCTCTCTTTCTGTAAAACCAGAAGCATTCTGCCAAATGAGTAAAACAAAGCAAGTTCTAAGCGGCAGTCATTGCCTCCAAAGTGAAAGTATCTACTTTGTTTCACTTTGAATAAGAGGAAATCAGGGTACTGAATACATGTGGATAATTAGATATGCCACAAGCTGTTTTCTTTAAAGGGAAAAGTCATCTGGAATATTGTAGGAAAGTTGCATAGTCCTGTGCACTTTACTTGTTATTTTCAGGTTCTCAGCACTTTGCTTGAGAGAAAGGTGACTTTCTATTTTCTATTATCTTTTGGAAACATAAAAAATATATATTTTTCAGCCAGAATTTGTCCTCTGAGATTCATGAAGTTGTTATAATTAGTTAGCTACAGTAATCACTCTATTCGGTAGTCCAGTGACCCCTCTGCTCCAGAGGGCCCTTGTTCTGAAAGCAAAGACMCAACCAGTCCATACCACTTGTCTGGAGAACCAAGGTCACTCCATGGTATGGAGCACAAGCCAGTATGGACTCAAGTGCTGGTCAGAATGGTTTGCCTTCTCCAAAGGTAGGTCTTCGACCTGCACATCTCTCTCTTTTAAGTCACTTTGGAGGCCTGGTTAGTTAAATCTTTCTCCAGCAAACTCTTTATTTTCTCYATCAAGAAAAACAAAACTAAACAACCTCTGTTAGTAGAAATTGCATTGAACCATTCTAGAAGCCTGGAAATCTTAAAAAAAAAATCAGTAATGAAAAACAAAAAAAACTTTCAGATCTTTCTTCAGTATAGCCAATATTAGTAATGGATAAATTTGGGCTCTGTGCAAGTCAGAYTAGGACAAGTCTGTTCACAGTTTCTTCAAGCTAGGATTGGGATTTAAATATTGCACAATATAGATATCACTTTTCATTTTCATGCTTGGCAAGGCTACTTTTGTTTCTTTTGAATTTGCTTCCCTTTTGATATAGTAATTTCCCTCAAACTTCACAGCTTCTCATGGTTTTGG